TAGGTACTTAAATATGGATTTCAGGTATCCTGACAGAATAGACAATGGAAATTAATGAATTCAATTTCCTAAAGCAAAATAAGACACCTAAATTAATTCAAGTCAAGTTGAGCTTTACTGCTATTTCTCGACATGTGTTGACAAAGGAGAATTGTGGAGCTAATAATATGACAAAACAATTTGAATTTGAATTGTGTGCATGTGAATTATTGACAATTGTAATTTAATAAATCTGAATTGTTATATGCAGTTAAAAAAATTTTGAATTTAAATTACTTAATTTGAATTTGAATTTCATAACTTGAATATAGATTTTTTTCCATGTATTAAAAAAATTACATTATTTTTGGCTAAAATACTTTGAAACCAAAATGTTTAATGAGTGGCGCCAAATCTCTCTTTTTTTCTCTGAATTGTTCATTCAGATTCGTTCGAATTGGCTCATTTATAAATTAATAAGTGACTTATTATAAATGATTTGCTCAGAAATTCCTTTTTAACCTCATTGTTTAAGTGCTTAGAATTTTGTTTCAAATGGTAACAACATAAGAGGTGTTGAAAAGTCTTTATTGTTGTGAATAGAAAAAGCTACTTGATGAGTTTTCAACATGTTTGTTTAATGTGACCTGAAACCAAAAGCAGCCTTCCCTGTACTTAAAGCTAAAACAAATATGACTTTAATTTTACATTAGACTATATGTAGATAAAAACATTTATTTTTACCTATTCCTAACGCCCCACTCTCATAATTCCCACCATGTAGTACGTCTATAACCATGAATCAAGCAGAGGTGAGTGATTCTTTGACTTTTCGGTGATCATCTATTCTTCTCTGTTGATCACCCTACTTTCTGCTGAATCTGGAATTCACAATCTGAATTTCTGGTTTTGAATTGTAGGATATTGAATTTAAAGTTCAGAATTTCTTCAACTTGAAAATTTTCGAAGTTTGAAAATACGTCTATAAAAATTGTCTTAAATTTCAGATTCTTCAAATTCAAATTAGATCATTCAAATTCAAATTAAGAAATTCAAATTCAAAACTATTTTAAGGGCATATAAAAATTCTGGTTTATTAAATTACAATTGTCAATAATTCTAATGAGCAAATTAAATTCAGATTGTTTTGACATATTTTTAGCTCCATAGAGAACTAAATGTCATGTCTCACAGGACCACCGTGCTAAAGAAATTTAAATATTCAAACAACACTAGATGTAAGAGCTATTTTTTTAACCTATACAAAACTAACATACTGGAGTCGTAATATAACTATACATATACTACAAATAGTCAACTATACACACAACCTAAAACAGACTATACAAGGACTTTACAAACACAGAAACAATATTGGTCAAGATATTGTGCAAAAGAGGTATGTAAGGTTGAAAAAGTAAATAGTGCAACATGGTTTTTTGCCCTTGATTGCATATCATTATGTTGTTGGAGATCCATATAACCGAAATATGACCCCTTTTCATGTATAATATGGGCTCTTTAAGCCCACTCACCTGTGGGCCCACCATTCAGAATTTCATAATATTTTACATAATGTCTAGAAGATCAACAGGGATATATTGTACAAGGAAAGTTGAAGCAACAATGTTTTAGAACTGCTAAAGTCACCTAAAATTATGCAATTGCAATCATTATGTAATAACACAGCCTTGCTTAATCTATGTTAGATTGGAAGCACTAGCGTTAGCTTGCTTACACTAATGTGACCATCTTTTTATAAGCTCAGCATTGTGCTTTCTATGGATAAGGAATGTTATTTTGAAATATCAGATGCTTTCCTCAGTTTAGTAGAGATAGAAAACTGATCAAACAGCAATACAGCAGGTATAACTGCTCGGACTGTACCACCTTGATGTTAACCCTAAGTGGGAGAACAGGTGAAACCATTGTCACCTTACAGACAATACTAACCAACTGCACAACTAGGAAAACACAGTAATATACTGTAAATCAAATTTAATATGGTTACACTAACACTAAACAAAGCTAATTGTCACTTGCAAATGTAAATTGTTAATGTTAATGTTAATGTTATTGGGCTGCATGGTGGTGCAGTGGGTAGCACATTCGCCTCACAACAATAAGGTCGCTGGTTTGAGCCTCAGCTGGGTCAGTTGGTGTAAAGGCTATATATGAATTGGGTAACCTAAAAATGTTCCTAGTGTATGTGTGTGAATGAGTGTGTAAGGATCCATCCCAGTGATGGGTTGCAAACTGGAAGGGCATCCACTGCATAAAACATATGCTGGATAAGTTGGCAGTTCATTCCGTTGTGTTAATAAAGAGACTACTAAGCCAAAAAGAAAATGAATGAATGTTAATATTATTTTATTATGTTATTACATAACTGTGGTTCTTGGACAGTATTTTCATCTGTGATCGTGAGTACGGGCTTCTCGATCTGTAAATCCAATTACAAATTAATCTTGTCCAATATTTACTTTTACATATTCCTCCATGGCATATTTATGTCTTACTTGAATACTCCTCACTGAGGGCAGATTTATCCTCTCATGTCCAGAATGTACCAAAAACATCCTTGGACAAGATTTTCACACTGACAGTGCCACTGTATTCTTGCAATCACACTGTCAGTGTGAAAATCTTGTTCCAAGAGTTTGTTTGTCCTAGTTAACACCAGTAACTTAACATGTCATAACAATAGGTCAGTTTATATTTCAAGGATCCGTTTTAGTGTTTAGCATTCATTATATAATCATTTCAATAAACCAGTTAGTTTAGACAGACAGTAAGTCATAATGCAGCTTTTTAGCAACTTCAAAACATTTATATATATATATATATATATATTTTTTTTTTTTTTTCAGGACAAAAATTAAATATCTTTATCGAAAATTATATAATTAAACAGGAAGGACACAGCCCAGATGTTATAGACCTACTCTAAGCAGTCTTGAGTTCTATCATCCATCTCCAGAGTGAGAGAGTAGGTGAGTGATGAAGGAGGAGAGATAAGATTGGTCGGAGGAGCCAGGTAAGGACAGAAAACACTCACAATATCAGCAGGAGAGATGATCAACAACACTTTACAAAGCACTGAGAGCATTCTGGAAACAGTGTGTTCATTATGCCTGTGGAGTAAACACAGCAAGGGGTTCACGCAGTGCTTTTCACCCCCACCTAACTAATTCTCCCCCTCCAGCCTCCATCATCCATCTCTCTCTGTGATGGATCCCACTCATTGTGATTTGGACACAGGTATTAAATTGTAGCCTCCACCAACGCATTATACTTATTATTGAGCACTTACACAGCCGGCACCCGTGGTGTAACAGTCGGCAGTCAGTGTTTCATTTAAGCCAAAGGTTTCATTTATGCTTTGGAAGACAATGAGGCACATGTCAACTACTCACTCAGTAAGAAAATAATACAGGGTAGTGACAGGGAGCGATAAACAATGCCGTCTATTTTTTGGTCTTAAAGAAAAAGTGGAGCATCTTCCACTGAAATGATTTATGGGTATGTGTGTGAGTGTCTGAATACATGGGATAATTTATAATTGAGTGGACTGTTTTACTTAATTATCTACTGGTCCCGAAAGATTAGCGGAGTACCACTTCAGTTGAGAAAGTCAATTAGCAATTATGGTGTGAGGCGTAGCGAGCATGCATGTTCACTGTACAGCCCGTAAAGAACAATATACACTCAGCACAGAATAAATGTTGCATGCTTTTTCACAAAGTCTTGTCAGCTACATAAGAAGCAACTGCATTCAAAATACTTAGCAACAAAATATTCATGAAACATCCATCTTTATGTAACCGTGCAGGCTCCGCAAAACCACTACAGACTATATAGGACAATTACATTGCTTTTAGTGTGCTTAGCCCTGTAAAGCACTGCGTATGCAGCATACAGTAGAAGTCAGAATTATTATTGGCCCTCATAAATTATCAGCTCCCTCTATATTTTTGCCCCAATTTTTGTATAACAGAGAGATATTTTTTAAACAAATTTTTAAACCTGACTAATTTCTAATAACTGATTTCTTTAATCTTTGCGATGATGACAGTACATAATTTTTATTAGATATTTTAAGACACCAGTTTTCAGCTTAAAGTGACATTTAAAGGCTTAACTAGGTAAGTTAGGGTGATTAGGGAAGTCGTTGTATAATGATAGTTTGTTTTGTAAACTATTGAAAAAATAGCTTAAGGAGGCCAATAATTTTGATTTTAAAAGGGTTTTAAAAAAATAAAAACTGCTTTTACTCTAGCCTAAATAAAACAAATAAAACTTTCTGCAGAAGAAAAAATATTATTGCAAATACTGTGAAAAATTCCTTGCTCTGTTAAACTTTATTTGGAAATAATTCAACATATTGATAATTTTGACTTCAACTGTACGCAGATAAGAACATATCCCTTTGCTCAGATTTAAAATTAGATTGTTATCATATTGCTAAACTAACAAAATTCTAATATAAATGAATATTATTCTAATATAAATGAATGTCTATATATATACACATTACTCTGATATTTCCAACCCAGACTCATTCTATAAAACGTAGTCCCTTGGGTGTTTCGGGAGACCACAAAATACGTCTCGGTAGCTACGTATTTTTGCAGTTTTTGTTCTTGCGAATCCGTGAGAGGCCGCTGTGTGCACTTTTTCGCATCTCAGATGTCTCTTGTGAGAGCCGTTCGCGCCTGCGCTGTTCTCACGTAAACCCACCAGAGGCCGCTGTCAAGTCATTGTCTGTCTGACTGACTTGGATGATTGACTGGGCGACCGGCCAATTGGCTGACCCACCCTCCCTCTCCTTCCCTAAACCCAACCAATTTTATTGACTGAACCACCCACCCGCTTACTTCCCTAAAACCGCTTCCCTGGACTTGAACCCGGTCATTGTTGCAGAAAAGCCCTCCACACGAAGGTAAGCGGTCAACCGGTAAGCGTAAAAAGGAACGGCATCATACACTCTTAAAAAAAAGGTTCCTTGAGGTTCTATATAGAACCTTAGGGTTCTATACTTGGCCAGTAGAACCTTTTACCCAAAAAATGGTTCCATTTAGAACCCTTTGACTGCAAAGAACCTTTTTGATTAAAATGGTTCTATAATTTTTGAATCATAACATAATTATGTAGTAAAGATTATAAAATAATTATAAGTTATAACACAGAGAGACAAAGCTTTTTGAGTCAAAACCTAATAAAATGAATGCTGTGGTCAAAAACTTAATCAGTGTACATTATGATGGGATTTTTTTATGCAGGTTTGTACAATAGCATATAACTTATAGGCCTAGTTTATGTTTAACATTTTTGACAAATTATTTTGTGAAATAAATAAAATGACCAATTTATTTAGACTGTGCAGTAACATGTTGTTATGGTTTAATAATTTATTTGAAACTAATAATCATAAAAAAAGCCCTCTGGTGACGTCAGTCATCAGTCAAGGACATCGTCATGGACCAGTGGTGAAGAGCCTTGAGAGAAGGTTAATTTTTCGAAAGGAGAAGTCCACTATTTCAGCTTCATCATTCAGGTATGTTAGTACATTTAATATATATAGTGAAATATTTTGTATTATGAAGTAAGGTTATTTGATAAAAAATCCCTCGTGTTATATGGTGATACAGATTGAATGGGGGCAACTTTAGCGTTAATATGGATAAACACTGTGCTTGATGACCTCGGTCGTCACCCTTCGGTTCAGAAATCTGTTAAGTTGAATTTGTTCTGCTTTTTATTCAAAATAAGTTACAATATCGCTATACTTGTTTGTCAGTACTACTAATTAAATTACCGATAACAGTACACAGCTGTGTTTTTTGAAGGCGAGCTTCGAGAGAGCATGAATGAAGCATGTGCACGTTATTTTAAAATTAACTAACGTTAGATTTGAGCCGATTTCATCGTGTTTTTCGTGTTGTTTTTAGCTCCAACCTTGAACAAACGCTCACTTTTAGCTTGGTTCGTGTGTGTTTTATCAGTGATTGAGCTAAACTCTGCAAAGTAGTGGACATTACTGCCCGCTTTTTAGACGTTCCCGCTAGTCTGCATAAAACCGCAAGATAGCAGTGCACCGCTCGTGCCCGCACAGGCAGATTCGTGCCCAAGTCTGTGCACGCGCGGGAGGCCAGTCACGGTGGCAAGTTCTCCCTATGGCCAGTCCGCCCCTGAATATTATTGAAACATTTAAAAAGCCAAACATATTTTAACAATCTATAGATGAAAGATCAGGTCTTATTTATAAAAGACACAAAAATGCAGAATAAATTTATTGTGAAATTATATATATATATATATATATATATATATATATATATATATATATATATATATATATATATATATATATATATATATAGCGCAAAATAAGTTTAAAATAAATATTTTAATGTATATTTTTTTTTCTTCAAACAGCCTGGAAACTGAACTGCATCATAAAACTTGTGCTTGGTATCATAGTTTTAAAATCCAAACAAAATGTATTGTGGTGAGTAAAATGAAATAAATATTATAAAAGACTTCAAGATTGTATTTATCATTACAGAAAAGTGTCATGGGACCCATATTAAGTTTCCAAATTTGATCTGCTGCACACAAGTAGCTTTGAAGAAGAAGGATCCCAGCTTAAAGAAAAACACGTCACATCCATAATTGTTTGACATCATCTTCAAGCACACCTGGTAAAGTATTGTATTTTATAACATGCATAATTCAGACTTGTTGGTTGTTGTGTACTGAAAAAAATATATTTATCAAAAAAAATATTCTATTTTTTACTACTGCTGTTTTAATGCAGTGAGAATATTAAGGTCGTTGCTTAAAAAAAGTCCTGCAGAGAAGAAATATGTATTGAAAGGTGTAAATTTGCCTACAGGATTCCTTGTTGCAATGTCTTCAAAACAAATGTAAAAATAAAAGGATTTCAGTGGTGAGCTCATAATGATGGGATCAAAATCAAAAAGAAGTGAACTGGACTCTGAGGGACTTAACACAAGTTCATTTCAATACATTTTATGTCAAGATTAATTCTGTGATTTAAATTTATATTTACACATTCTACAAATGCTGTCTTCCTACCTCAGATTGTGATGGACCTAGAATGCGACACCATTTACGAATAAGTCAAGAACCAAATGAAACACTATTTTCCAGAGCGCAGATTATGGAGGGGTCTGCAAAACTAATGGAGCAGTTTCTTCTTCTTGGAGTGCCACAGCTTGTGAGTAACCAAACACTGTTACATTGTGTGCCAAATAGATATGAAAAATCTGTGCATATGACATTTTAAAGCTCATTTGGTAAAGCAAGGCATTAGCAATGCCAAATGTGTTTCAGATCACACATATTAATAAATGTATAGATTAAACACAATCTAAGTCCCTTTGGATAAAAGTATCTGCCAAATATGATGTATGTTATTTGATATACAGTTATTTTGTTTTGTTCTTATTCTAATTTTATTGTTTTATTTAATGTTCATACTGAATTGAGGTCACTCAGAAATGTCAATTTCATTAAATTCTGTAACAAATGAAATGCAGATTAAATTGAAAATATTTTACAGCTGTGTACACTGTATTTCTGTATTTTTGATGACTTTAAAGTACTTGTATTGCTGAAAATGTGTCACTTGGAAACTTACACAAAGTAAACAAAATGTTTTAATTTAGGATGCTGCATATAAGGACTTGGTGAAGAACACAGAAACATCTTTAAAAGAAATGGCCCAATAGAAGGGAAGGAAAGAAGGAAGTACTCAGCATTGAAATATTGTTTTACAGAAATCCAAAGGTCCTAACAGCTCTCCTGATTCCGTCAAGGCTTGAAGTGTCAGCATTACGATGGCCAACAATCGCTCACTATCCTTCTGCTCCCTCATTTATCAGAGGCACCACAGTAGAATGAATTAGCAATTACTCTTCACTTTCCAGCCGCAACCCAGCACTGGGAAACACCCATACACTTTCTCATACACCTGCACACATTCACTCACTGTGGCCAATTCACCAATACCGTACGCATGCCTTTGGACTGTGGGGGCAACTGGAGCACCCAGAGGAAACCCACACAAACACTGGGAGAACTTGCAAACTTCACAAAGAAACACCAACTGACCCAGTCAGGACTCGAACCAGTGACCTTCTTGCTGTGATGTGACAGTTCTAACCAGTGAGCCACTGTGCCACCCATGGACAAAACTATTTACGTTTTAAGAGAGGCCGGCAAACATGGACATGCTACAGGTTGTGGAATGGCTGTTCTCAGTGTTTTGTCTAATCATTTTGCAAAGTTTTGTGTGCGATTAAGCACTTTCTTTAATAACTTTTATTGAAAATTATGTATAAAAATGGATGTTGCCATGACCAATACATACATGTACCGTCAACTTGTTGAAATTGTAGTGTTTTTTAATAGATGTTAGAGTATTGTTTTTATCTGCATTGTAATACATTTTTCATCATTTTAGAGATGTTTGAAAGTTAAGTTTTGTATTTGTTCAATCAGTAAGCAAGCTTACAAATGTTTATTAATAAGTGAAATCATTAGAATTAGATTGTTGAATGCCATTAAGCTGTTAATTATGTTTACTAATTAAATAGTAAAAATGTATAATGTTTAGAGGTAGATCTTATACAAAGTACGCAGAGGTGCAATTTTAAATATTATCTAAAACTTATTTTGTGAAGTAAATTGAATAAATTTAAACAATTTGAATTTTCTACATTGGTTTTATTTTTTATTCAATAATAAATAACATTAATTCTATAATAAATAAAGAACCCTCAAATGGTTCTAAATAGAACCATGTAACTTGAATTCAATGAACCATTTGGGGTTCTATTTAATGAACCCTTAAATGGTTCTATTTATAACCTTTTTTGGGTTCCATATATGAAGCGCTTGAAAGAACCATTTGGGGTTCTATTTAATGAACCCTTAAATAGTTCTATTTAGAACCTTTTTGGGGTTCCATATATGAAGCGCTTGATAGAACCATTTTTGGTTCTATATAGAACCGTTTCTTTTAAGAGTGTACCACCCTGTAGCGTTCGGGTAAAAAATTAAATGCAGCCATACATACCTCCGGCTACATAAATCTCGGTCTCCACAAATGTCCACAAGACTACATTTTCAGAATGAGCTTGTCTTGGATATTTCTATACACAGCAAAGCTGTTTGGTTCAACATAAGCTCTTTCTGAAAACGTAGCCCTATATACATTTCTGGAGATTGCGAATTATGTAGCCAGAACTACGTATGGCTGCATTTCGTCTTTAAAACGAATGCTACAAGGAGGTATGATGCCGTTCCTTTCATCGCTTACCAGCTGACCACTTACCTGCATGTGGATGGCTTTCCCACTGTTACCAGTTTTTTTCCAGTTAGCTCGACAAGTATGTCAGCAAAATTGAGATGCAGAGCGGAGTTGACCACGACGAAGGGGTTCAAGTCCGGTGAAGAATGATTCCAGAAAGCCGGTAAGACAAATACAGGAGCTAAAAAAATAAAATAAACAAGTAAATAACAGGGTGAGAATGTAGTAAACTCAGATAACAAGGTAAAAATCAGGCGAGGTCTTTTCTTTTTTTGCATTGCTTTTCAAAACACTGTTGGGTTTAGGGAAGGGGTTGGGCGGGTCAATTGGTGCTTTTCAAAATTCTATTGGTTGGGTTTAGGGAAAGGGGAGGGTGGGGGATCGGTCTGTTAGTCAGTCAGTTAGTTAGTTAGTCAGCAGCCGCCTCTGGTAGATTTACATAAGAAGAGCAGGCAGGAATGGCACTTGCAAGATATATCTTAAATCTGAAAAAGTGTACACAGCGGCCTCTGGTGGATTTGCGAAAACAAAAACTGCAAAAAAAAAAAAAACCTCCTGGGACATGTTTTGCGCTCTCCAGAAATGTATATACTTGTATGTGATCAGAATAAGCCTGGGTTGGTTTGGTTACATTTCTGATAAAGAAATCAGGTCACTCAGGTATGGAACACCATACAGAGAAATAATTGATGCCAGAATTTTTCTTTTTAGTTAACTATCCCTTGTTGAGCTGAAAGATATGACATAAACACATACAGAAATTCAACTACACATCTCAAGTCAACACCTGATCTTGTCGCAGTGCAGTCCAGGTTTGTTTTTTTCTCATAAATGCAAGCAACGCCCTTGAGAATATAACACAGTGAGTTACAAAGCAGCATAATTTGTTTACAGTAGGAACAGCCCTCTGTCTCTAAAGGCAGGTAAATATCTTTCAAAACTACACTACTATGTGAATTATCAGGCTTCAAAAAGTAAAAAAAAAAAAAAAAAGTGGCCACTATATGTGCAAATGTTCTTCAGTTAAAGCCCTGGTGGAATGATGCCACCAATGTTTTGTTTTGTGACAAGTGAACAGAATGTCCTGCCTCAATGTCTCAACTCGTTGATAAAATTTTTAAAATCTTTATCCTGTATGTGGCTTTTGTTGTTACATTTCAGCAGGCAAGATTCTGAGCCTGCAGAGCGTCCACAACAACCACAGCCAATCTAAAGCCTGAACACGTATTTATCTGAACACAAGTGAAAAACAACACTGCAGAGCACACTACACTACAGTATGCTTGTTTAATATTGTTTAATATATTTCTCAAATGAAAACCGATTTTACAGATTTGTGCAAGAATTCTATGTAAATTATGTTACGTCCCGACCAGCCCAACCTTTTTTGGGTATTGATCCCGGACGAGCCCCCAATTGTTACGTCCCGACCAGTCTAGGGTTGGTGGGAACAATAACAAAACAAAAAAAAAAAAAACAAAGAAATAAACTCAAATACTCAATTTAGGATTTTCCCCTTCTCCTGTCCCAACTCACAATAATCACAACGCTAATCAAGTAAGAACAATATTTATTATTTACTTAGACAAAAAAGATAGAAGCATCTCTTCGGAAGGGAATCCAGGCCAAAATAATAAACAAAAAGACAGCTAACTTGCGGGGAAATAATTCTAACTTACCTGCTCAAATAAAAGTACCCCAAATAAAATTACAGCAAACTTCCCTTTCTCCCTTGCTACCCCAAACCAGGAGAAAACGTTTTAAAGTAAATGGCGATTCCCAACCTACCGCTTCTGTTTCTAACCAAAAATAATATATCTAAATATTTAATCAGAAAAGCCAATAGATTCAGATTTAACAGAGAGCCGTTTTAGAAAATAATTAAATTTTTCAGTAACAGAAATCAATCAATTCACACCAAGTCAACCAACAATTTGGGGCAGGAGATAGGAGACGCTCGAAACAACAGCGGCGGCGACGACGATGGAGATTTGTGACCTGCACCGAGCAGAAAAGATCTCCCCATTGTTCCTCTCCTCCAGCTTATATACGCTCCCACACGCAACACGGCTGGACCGCAATCAAGCGCAGCTCTAAAGGGAGGGGGAGAGAGAGAGAAAGAAAGCTGCGCATGCTCCACAGCGCACAACACAACATCAGCTCCAAATGCAGAAACAAAACACAAATCTGTATATATATAATATTTATATATATAAAATAAACAAACAAATAATTAATACGTTCTATGACGTAACAATTAGCTTTTCTTGAAAGTAGAACAAAAATATTAACAATGAATCTTCCTGTAATACACATTTCCAATTCAATGATTCCATTTTAAGATTTTTCAAAAGCTGAAGTCAAACTTCAGAGTTTAATAATTATTAAAAACAATCTAAAAGACAAAAACACATCCACTACATCTAACACATTCTACATCTAAACCTTCATGAATAGAAAAGTTTAAACTATTTCAGACAAACCTTATCGCTCTCTTCATTCTTTTCCATTGTGTCTCGTTTGTCACAATAGATGACATCCAAGGACTAAGACTGGAAAAAAAGAAGAAAAAAGACTGGTCAGAGCTTGTTTTGGGGGGTTTTATTGGTACTTGGGAGACCAGCCTAACCTGGTTTGGTCTTTGGTGGTAGCTAATATAAAGTAAACTTAAAAAACCTAAAGTAAGCCTCTCTTAGAGAAAAAGAAGGAATTCTTAGGTTTAGACTAGGTTTGCTAGTCATATAAGTATAGACCGTTACAAAAACATCAAGCAATATCTGTGTTTCTCTGAGATACTATCAGAAAAGCAGAGATATTTTGCTCTTTAAAATCTGCTTGATTTATGTGTGTGTGTGAGAGTATTTAATAGCTGTCTAATAGACATCTAAACATAGACAGCTTGCCTAAAACAAGGCTAAACTTGGGCTGCCTGTGAAAATCTAATAGATGTCTAAGAATAGCCCAAAAGTAGACTTGTCGTCACATAGACAGATAAGACAGACTTTATATGTGTAGTCATTCATTTCAGTTTATTTGATGACTAGTCTAGTTTTGACCTATTCTAAGTTGTCTATTAGATTTTCTCTGACAGCCCAAGTTTAGCCTTGTTTTAGCCAAGACAACTTTGTTTAGATGAGATCTAAAAAAAAAAATGCTTGCTGGGATATCATATTCTGCGGAGTATATGAGCGTAAGATAAGAAGGTCTCGTCACCCATTGAACATAGCTATGTTTTAGTGACAACCAAGAGATCATACTTTGAGGGGTGCAATTTACATATTGTTGTGTAAAAGTATAATGCAAATACTAGGCAGACCATGTATTTGCTTAAAGCAAGGGTTCCCAAACTTTTCAGTCTGTGACCCCTGAATTACAATGCCGGTGCCTCGCAACCACCAATATCCTCTGAGTTGGTTATAAATACATAAACCTTGCACATTATGGCGCACATATATCAATAGGCCTAACTCTATTTAACATTTAATTTTGAAGAATGTCACTCGGAGAACACCTCCATGTTCATGCCTGTATTTATTTTTAATGTACATTTAATGTACATTTAATGTATTTTTAATATAACTAATACTGTTTTTTTTCTTTTGTAGGTTATGGATAAAACATTAAAATATGGTAATTCTAATAGTTTAATAAAATGGTTTAGAATTTTGGAAAATCACACAGCCTTTTTCTTTAAAAAAAAAAAAAAAAATTAAGCATTTTGATCACTCTACTCATTCCATACAGCTCATGCCACAATGAAT